ATCTTTTCTTCAAGCTTTATGTATCAAATATGATGGTGAGAAAGTGGGTATAAAGTTATCAAGTTCAAAAAGGAGATGAAAAAACAATTATAGTTGAAGAAAAGAGCTTCATTTTGGATTCCTTAACTAAGGTAGTGTATTTCTAATCCTTTGTTATGTTAGGGAATTCTTGCTTTGAGGAATTTTTTGTTGTGAAACTTGTGTTTTTATGGTGCTATATAATCCTAAAGCTTTAGAACATAATTTGGGACCAAACTAGGGTGTTTGAAAGTATTTTTGATAATTCTCAACCCTTATTATGGGTTTTATGGGTTGTAGTATCAATATTATTCATGTAGTATAGATATATTCATATTATGGCAAATATTGGGTTTTTTGGGACACATTATCGATACCGGAGGAACTAGTATCTATATTGGTCCATTAGTATTGATAATGAGGGTGAAACTACCGAGAGGTTTGGTATCAATACTGAAATGTTGTTATCCATACTAAAAGGTTCAATACCCATACAAAAGGCTTGAGATAACTACTGAAGGTTGTTAAAGGACTTGAAATACCCTTGAGAGTGGAAAATAGCCAAAATACCCTTATGTGGCATAGTTAACAAAATACCCTTACTTAGTAAGAAACTTTAAAAATACCCTTAAAGGGATACATGATGAATAATTGTGAATGACAAATTATTGAGAAGGATACACATGCAAGGAAGATGGTTTACTATACGAATAATGTGATAAAGAAGTCGAGTACCATATGAACATCTATAATCAAAGATGTGCAAGTTGCCCTACCAATTCAAGGGTGAACTGATGAGAATTATTATGAATGCCTTTTAACGAATTCATGATTTGTAAAAAAAAAAATGAAAAGGTTTTTCAATTTTAATGTTTGCCTCGATTGCCAAATGTGATAATTTAGGCCCAATTGGAGTTAGGGTATTACAATATCATTTATGTAACCTTATTTTGAGTTATTTTGAATATTTTAGTGCAATCAGAAATTTCAATATTTTCCTTTGAATTTTATAGAAATATTAAATTTGAATACTAATATTTATTTCAAGACTTAATTAAAGTAATAAGTCGTTAAAGTGACATCGGTTATGGAAAAAATTTGATTTTTAAAATATAAAAGTTATGTTAGTCTTAATCGGTCCAAATGAGGATTAATAATTGACATAATTACATGCGTGATAACTCCACAAAAAGGCTATGTTTTCTGTCTTTTTACTTAAGTTATTGTCTGTTTAAAAGCCGTTTCATAGCATTTTAGTTGCATTTAGGTCATATTTGCATGTGATGGATAAGTTTTGCCTAGGCAAGATTTATTTGGCTTAACTGATGCTGCTAAGGAGGAAAGTTATTTGCTAGTTGTGTTGATGTAGGAAATAACTAAGGAAGAATTTATTTGCCGAGACAAAACTATTTCCTAGGGTTAGAGGAACATAAGAAGACGACAATGAGGAATATATTTTTCTTGTAAATCTGAAATGACTCAACAACTGATGACGTCATTTGTCCAATTTCATCCTCACATGCAATCACACCCTCATAAAGAAAAGTGACCACTTCCCACTGCTATGCCAATCGTAAAATGGGTAAGTCAATTTAGGGAATTTCCAAGGACATAAAACCCTATAAATTCCCACTATAAATACCTCATTATAGCCTCACAAAAAGAGATAATCAAGGAGGGGATTTACCCTAGGCTTGGAGTAAGCGATTGCAACATGTTATTTTCTACCGTTCCCCCACTCGACCGTCCTTGGTGTCCTCCATAGCCGGGCTTCATTAGAGCAACATCATGCCTCGAGAAAAGCTGGCCGTTGAAGCAGGCATGGTGGTGGTCAGAATGTCACGTCAGAGCTCTGTTTAGGAGTGTTTCTTCCTTTGTTATAAATTTCCAATTCACTTAAAGGGCTTGTACTGAATGTTTAACTTTTGGATGATATTTTCCGCACCATGAACTGCTTTACTTGGTGTTGGTTATTGTTTTGATGAAACGTTATTTGAATGTTGATGAATGATGAAGTTTGCTTATGCTTAATGTTGTTTTGTTCATTGTTTTAATATTTTTCCTTGACACTGTAAGAGCTTTTGAGAGATTGCATGGTGCCTCGGTAAGACAATCCTAGACTTTGTAAGAGCTTTTGAGAGATTGCCATTTTTCTAGGACTAAATGCCTAATATCGAGAGAGTTAGGGTAGATGTTCTAATCCACCTTTGAGATAAGGAGAGGGTTTTATTCAACTAAAAGGGGTAACTACTCGAGTAGGGTATGTAATGATTAGATTTACGCTGAGGGGTATTACAACAACGAAAGTTTGACAAACCAAGGGTTGTAGTTCACGCAGAGTAGTATTACTGTAGAAACCGTCCTTGAATACTTCAGTAATCCTGTCGGGTAACCTAAGCATAACACACTAAGTCATTCTAGACATAGAATAACTTCTCACCATAGCAAAACTAACCTAAGTGTTCCGTAAGAATTCTGGTTGTGTGAGGTTTATCTGAAAATATTGAACTCAACACTTTTATTTGCCTTGACAATTTTTATTTGTTTGCTTTTATAATTTTTCCTTGCATCGACCAAACTTTTCTGCACACCATTCTTCACAATATTTCTTGCCTTGGCAATACTTTTCCATCTGTTTATATCCTCTAATACTAATTGTTTTCTGTTTCGACAAGATTTTCAGGACTAGCTCGTGACATCTAGTTCTAGCTATAGCAAAACATCAATAATTCCCACCAATCCCTGAGAAGACGATAACTCAACTTACTACTATATTACTTGCATCAATTGTGTACACTTGCACAAATTTGCTTACCTTAGCATAAACATTCACAAGCAATCAAGTTTTTGGCATCGTTGCCGGGGATTGGCAACTGGAGGAATTTTTTTCCTGCCATAGCAAATTTTGATTTTCTTGTCACATTTTCTTTATTTAGTTTAACTCATTTATTTTCTTATTTTATTTCGAAGGTTTTTGTTGCTACATGACCAGAAGATCTACTGGTGAACCATTAGAACCATTCGACCATGAGATCAAACAGTCATTCAGACAAAGACGATGTAACTAGCATGCCAGAGATTACATGAATTGACTGTAGTATCAAGCTAACAATATTATGGAAGATCAGTCAGATCCCGATGTCACGAAAAATAATCTTCCCATAAATACTGTAAGACCACGAGCAATAAGAGATCACTTAAATCTGATTCATGATGATGTCAACCCTGGAATCGTGGCACCTTAAATTCAAGCAGCCCATTTTGAACTTAAACTGATGATGTTTAACATGCTAAACTCCATCTGTCAATTTGGTGGTTCGCCTAATGAGGATGCTATACAACATGTACATGATTTCCTTGAAGTTTACTATTCGTTCAGGAAATAAGAAGTGCATGAAGATGTGCTGAAGCTTAAATTGTTCCCCTACTCTCTACTTGACCGAGAAAGAGCTTGGCCTAGTGGAGTCCCTTCTTGATCAATGGAATCTTTGGCTGACTTATGCAAAAATTTCTTGCTTAGATTCAACCTGCCTAATATGCACACCCAGCTCCGCAATGATATTGCAAGTTTTCACCAAGGTGATGATGAATCTATGTATGAGTGATGGGATATAAATAAAAGCTTGTTTTGCAAGTACACTAACCACGAATTCCATGAATGGACTTAGGTCGTGATGTTTTACAACGGTGTCAATGCACCTACTCGTATGATGTTGAATGTGTCGGTAAATGGCACTTTGCTCGATAAATCGCCCGAAGAAGCCTTTGATATCCTCGATCGGATAGCCAATAATGACTATCAATTCCCGTCTACAAGGCTTGGAATCGGTAGTAAAATATCTGGGGCGTATGAACTTGAAAGTAAGGATTCAGTTTCTGCCCAACCTTCATCTATAACTAATATACTGAAAAATTTGCAACGCTCTAGTAAGATGAAAGAAGTCAAGGAAACTAACTCAACATGCAATTTCTGTAGCGACAACCATCATGAGAGTGAATGCCTAGAGAACCAGGAGTCCATAAATTTCATGGGCAACTTCAACAGAAGAAAAAACAATCCCTACTCGAATATATACAATCCTGGATGGTGACAACATCCAATTTTTTTGTGGGGTAATCAAGGGAAAAAATAAAAATTATGCAGGCAATTTTAATAGGCCACAACAAAACATTTATGAACACTCAAGTTCGCAACATCGACAGATGCCCTGGAAAGGTAATAATAAAAGTAATGCATCTCCCTCAAATTCTAAATCCCTCGAAGCTTTACTGCAGGAATTTATGACATCGACAAAAGATTTCATGGCTTCAACTAAGACCTTGATACACAAACACTCATCAACAATCAAGAATTAAGGAAATCTGTTGCAAAGCCAAGCAGCTCTATTACAAAGCCATAGCTCATCATTGAGGGCATTGAAGAACCAAGTAGGATAAATTGCCATGGCACTATATTCTCACCCACAAGGAAGTCAACTTAGTGACACTCAGGTCACTAAGCCTCATGGAAAAGAGCAATATAGTGCGCTCACGTTGAGAGTGCTACTCAGATTAATCTTCATGATAAGTTTGGGGAGCAACTAGAAAATTTTATCCAAGGCACCACACATGAAGAACCTGAAGATCAAGATGAAATTACTGAAAAAGAAGAAATGCCTAAGGAGGAAAAAAAGAACGAGGGTTCAACAAGTCATCACACTAATGGTGAAAAATTATTTTCCAAGGAAAAAGTTGCTTCACCACCTGCAACGGATGAAGTTAGACCTCAACCACCCTTTCCTCAAAGGTTAAAGAAGAATAATGATGAGATACAATTCAAAAAGTGTGTTGATGTCCTTGATCAGCTGCATATTAATGTTCCATTACTTGAAGCCATTGAGTAGATGCCTTATTGTGCCAAATTTTTGAAGGACATTGTCACAAAGAAGAGGAATGTGGGAAGAATAGAAATTATTGCCACTACAACATAATATTGTTCGTCAATGACTAAACTTTTGCTAAAGCAAAAAGATCCTGGCAGCTTTGCTATTCTATGTTCCATCGGTGATAGATATGTTGGAAGAACTCTTTGTGACTTGGGGTCAAGCATAAATCTGATGCCTAAGTCAATATTTTTGAAGCTTGGAATGGGTAATGCTCAACCAACCACCGTGATTTTACAACTAGTTGACCAGTCACATGTGCGTCCCGAGGGTAGAATTGAAGATGTGATTGTTAAAATGGATAAGTTTGTCTTTTTGGGTGATTTCCTCATTCTAGATTGTGAAGCCATGAAAAATCACCTATTATTCTTGGACATCCATTCTTAGCTACAGGGAATATTTTAATAGATTACGAGAAGAGAGAGTTCACGATGAGGGTGACTGATCAAAGCGTCATGATAAATGTCTTTAACACTCTTAAATATGTTGATGATTCTGAAGAATGCCATTACATTGAAGACGTTGATTCACTAGAGGATGCTGGAACAAAAAATTCTGGTCAAGGTAAATATTTACATTTTGACGAGTATGATAATTTTTTCCAAGACAAAATTCTTCGGAAGGAAGAATGTAAATGTTTGGCCAAGACGATGTTTTACAATCTGAGGAACACAATAATTGTTGCCCAGGCAAAATTTTTCTGAACATAGCATACAAAAATATTTGCCTAGGCAAAAGCTTATTGATTAAATCAGATGACAGACATATTGAAGGTAGAGCAAGTACGGAGTCTGGATTTATTCCTCAAAACCTTTGCTGTAGCATGCACCTACTTTAGAACTTAAACTGTTGCCATCACATTTGAAATACGCTTATCTAGGTAGTGATGAAACTTTACTAGTTATAATTTCTACTAGTCTAACCCCCAAGAAAGAGGGAAGTTTGTTGAATGTTTTGTTACGTCATAGAAAACTCTCGGACGGACTATGGCAGACCTAAAGGGAATCAACCCTACAATATACATGCATAAGATCCAGTTAGAAGATATCCATAGCAATTCCGTGGAATTCAAAATGAGACTTAACCTAATAATGAAAAAAGTGGTGATGAAGGAAATCATAAAATGACTTGATACTGTGGTGATCTATCCCATATCCGATAGTTCGTAGGTCAGTCCCGTTCAATGCGTGCTGAAGAAGAGTGGCATGACCATGGTTAAGAATGAGAATGATGAGCTTTTGACTACAAGAATCATCACAGGATGACGAATTTGCATGGGTTACATGAAGATCAACAAGGCAATGAAGAAAGACCATTTCCCATTCCCTTCATCGATTAAATGATTGATCGGTTAGTAAGCAAGGCATTTTACTATTTCCTTGATAGATATTCTGGATACAATCATACCTCCATAGTACCTGAAGATCAGGAGAACACAACCTTCATCTTCATGTATGGTACCTATGCCTATAGAAGAATGTCGTTCAGACTATGTAATGCTCCGAAAGCTTTTCAGAGGTGTATGATGGCCATTTTCTCAGATATAGTGGAGGACTTCATGGAAATATTTATGGATGACTTTTCCTTCTTGAGCGATGACTTTGACCGATGCCTCGACAATTTATCTAAAGTGCTGAAGCGATGCAAGGAGTCCAACCTTGTGCTAAACTGGGAGAAATTTCACTTCATGGTGACTGAAGGAATTGTGTTGGGACAAAAAATTATTCACCAGGGCATCGAAGTTAATAAGCCAAAGTGGAAGTAATTGAGAATTTGCCTTCACCCACCATTGTGAAGGGAATATGAAGTTTCCCAGGGCATGCAGGATTCTACAGGCGGTTCATAAAGAACTTTCAAAGATTTCAAAGCCTTTGTGTATGTTACTTCAGCAAAATCAACCGTTCATGTTCAACAGTGAATGCCTCAACGCGTTCACTGATCTGAAGAAAAACTTGTATTGGCACCAATTGTTGTTCTACCTGACTAGGATGCCCCTTTTGAGCTGATGTGCAATGCAAGTGACTATGCTATAGGAGTAGTGCTAGGGTAAAGAAAAGGTAAAATCTTCCGTGTCATTTATTATGCTAGTCGTACCCTTAATGATGTACAACTTAATTATAGCACCAATGAAAAAGAATTGCTTGTCGTGGTATTTGCTTTTGATAAGTTTAGGCCATATCTTATAGGAACTAAGGTCATTGTACATACTGATCACTCTTCCATCAAGTACTTAGTTAATAAAAAAGATACAAAACCTAGGCTTATTAGATGGATATCATTATTGCAAGAATTTGATTTGGAGGTAAAAGATAGGAAGGGTACTGAAAACCAAGTAGCAGGTCACTTGTCTAGGCTAGAGAATAAAAACATTTACCATGACATGAAGGATATTCAGGAGGATTTCCCTGATGAGAAAAATTTATTTGCCGCAATAGTGTCGTGGTATGCTGACATAGTTAACTTTCTTGTTAGTGGCGACCAAATAATTCGTAGATGTGTCCTTGAAGAAAAACATAAGGACATCCTATTTCAATTCCATACATCCCCGTGTGGGGGGCACTTTGGTGGGATGAGGACTGCTACAAAGGTCTTTCAATCCGACTTCTACTGGCCCACCTTGTTTAAGGATGCGCATGACTTCTATAAGTCATAAGATCGTTGTCAGCATACTAGAGCATATCAAAGAGAAATGAGATGCCATGGAAAAACATTTTGGAAGTTTATGGGGGATTGATTTTATGGGTCATTTCCTATCATCCTTTGGTGATCTGTACATACTACTAGCGGTAGATTATGTTTCCAAATGGGTTGAAGTTGTGGCCACTCCTAGCAATGACTCCAAGATCGTGTTGAAATTATTGCACAAAAACATATTCACACTTTTAGGAGCACCACGAGAAATTATCAACGATGAAGGTATCCGCTTTAACAATAAATTAATTGCCAAGGCACAGAAAAGATATGGGGTGTGCCACAGAATTTCCATGGCATACCATACCCAGACTAATGGGCAGGCTAAGGTATCTAATTGCGAGATCAAATATATTCTTGAGAAGGTGGTCAACCTCAATCGCAAAGATTGGTCACGAAAGCTCGAAGAGGCAGTGTAGGCCTACCGGACAACATTCAAAATGCCACTCGGAATGTTACCATTCAAGTTGGTATATGCAAGGTGTGCCATTTTCATGTGGAATTGAAACACAACACATTTTACGCCATCAAGAAACTAAATATGGATACGCATCTTGCTGGATAAAGAAGATTGTTGGAGCTGAATGAAATGGATAAATTTAGAGCCCAGGCGTATGAAAATGCCCACCTTTACAAGGAAAAGACGAAAAGATGGCATGATAGAAAAATTTTGCTTAGGCAATTTTTTCGTGGACAATAAGAATTGCTATATAATTCACGACTCAAGCTATTTCCAGGCAAGCTAAAATCTAGATGGTCAGGACCGTTCATCGTATATCAAGTCCATAGCCATGACACAATAGAAATCAAGAACATGGATGATGAGTCAACCTTTAAGGTGAATGGTCAACGACTGAAGGTGTACAATTGAGCACCCATCCTGCTTGATAAATCGGCGTCGTTAATTCACGATGCCCAAGAGTTTGCCTTATTTCCTGAACGAATTTTGTTGCCTAGGCAACAAAAATTTGCACTTTGTATATAAATAATATATTTTTATTTTATTCTACATGAGTTATTTATTTCTATTTTATTCTTTATTTTGTACATTTTGTAGTAAGGGTCCACGTGACAGCTTAGGGATGAAGTTCATGCATGGGAGGGAGAAAAACCCTAAAGAATTGGTTTTGGTGGCACTTTTAAGAGGGAACAATATTTTCCTTTATTTTATTATTTTTAGTCAAATCACATATCTTCGTCATTAATAGCATATTTCTTTTCCCTCACTTTTTACCATTTTACCCCCAAGAAACCACCCATTAACCATTATTTTTCTCCAAAATCGCCTACTTTCTCCATCTCCTAACCCTTCACTCTTTTCCAACTTCTTATTCTTCAACCTTTTTTCCTTCGATTTTACACCTTTCACCAAAACCCTCCATTATTGTCGTGAGAATCCTCTGTTCTTTCCCTAAATCTATCACAACAAACACCATGGCCCAATCCAAGAAGCATCCATGAGCTTTAAAATCCTCTTCCGGGACTTCAAGATTCGAATGCTTCCAAACCGCCGAGGCTGAGGCAAAGTACAAAACCCTACAGAAATGACAAGTTTACTTGGAGGATGGCTTTGTTTTCCTGGAGGCTGGCGAAGAACCCTTTGGACCGGAGGTAATGGACATCGTCCAAAAACATAAATGGGAGAAATTCACCCGACATCCAAAGGCAGTGGCACTGATAATGGTCCGAGAGTTTTACACCCACTTAGGTGACCCATCCCAACACATTGTGTATATTAGAGGGAAATCCATCCGATTAACTCCCTCGACCTTAAACCGCTACTTCAAGATCGACAAGGTGGAGGATCAACATAAAAATTTCTTACCAAGACAGATCAAGAGATGTACGATGGTGTTCTGGAGGATTTATATTTCTACAGGGCAAAGTTTTAAGGGAATGTGCCTAACCGAAAGCGTGTGGATTGCTGAGCCCTTAAGCAAATAACCAAGCTGTGGAATCATTTTTTGAAAGGAAAGCTGATGCCTACTTCACACAATGCAACAGTGTGGGTGAGGCGATTAATGTTGCTGTACTCTATCATCTACGGGTGCTCGATTGATGTGGGCGAGATAATTTTTGAACCTTGAGTGTGCGAAGAGGACCCGAGGTAACCTTATTTTTCACAATTTGATAACCACTTTATGAAGAAAGAAAAGTCCCTGACAAGCCTTTCGAGGACTTTATCAAGTCGAAGGAAGGTATTACCAAAAAGAAGGTGCCTGAAATTATGCGTTTTGATGATAACGCTCCACACGAGGGCTTGGAGCGAAGAGTAAAATCAATTATCGCGACAAGAATGGCAGTCGTGGTTATATCCACTAGGAAAAGATGAGAGTGGTTAGAGCAATTGAAAGGTCAAATGCAGACCTTCTTCAACTATGTCATGACTTAGGATGCACAAATGAATGCTTTCTCTAAGGAGCTGCTCTCGATTACCAATGAAGATCTGCCATGTTTTTTGAATGAAATCCTGCAACAATCGATCCCTCCAAGTGGCAGTACATTTCATGCCTCAACAAAATATATTCCACTCGAGTCCCCTGTGGTATCACTCCTATTGATACGCATGTCTCCCCTATACACGGAGAAATTCACGGCGAAACAGATGAATATCTCAGCTCCTCCTCCTCTTCTTTCAAGAACGCTCGAGAAATCCCGCCAGAATTCTTTGATGATGATGATTTTATCCTAGTCCCTAACCAGCCTACTCCTAAACAAGTATATGAATAACCCCCGGATCTTAATGTTAAACTAACTCTTGGCCCTGAATCAAGCCAATTTCAAGACATCCATACTGAGCCCACCCACAATGAGAAGATGCCATCATCAGCTAGTCCCCCGAGTACGTGGCGTCGTATTAAGTGAACAACTAGTTGTCTTTCTAGGCCATCTCCTTATTTGTTTTATTTAGGAGATACTTGATCCGAAAGCCCCCTCCTCTCAAATGACGCAGAACTCGCGCGTCCAGTCAAGCCTCTCCACCACTATGAGGTAATATTTCTTTCATTTGCATTTGCATTAGCATTTTAAAGTAATTTTAATTACATTTGTATCTATGCATTGAGGACAATGCATCCCCCAAGTTTGGGGGAGGAGTTGTACTCAATACATAGTTTTTTCATTTTTAATAATAATTGGCTGAAATATTTATTGTCATGGCATGAGTTTTATTAGGATAGTTGTTGGAAAAAGTTGATGATGCTCGACGATGAAAGCAAATTGTTGTTGAAGGCTAGAACCGACCTTAGGACTTTATTCTTTATAAATCTTTAAACACGATTGTAAGTTTTCTCTACTTAAGGTTCTTAGAAAAATTTTAGATGAATATGTTTAGAAATTATTCATAATGTAATATTTATATGTTAATGGATATTTTACCGAAATTATTATGTGTTATGGAATATATGAAATTGATGTTGTGAATGAGGTTTTAGAGGATGAACTGCTCTAAAACAAATATAAAAGAATAATGCATATGGTTGAATTATTGGCATGAAAGGATGCCAAAGTTGAAAGGCATATGGGTGCATTATCAACAGAAAAGTATACTAGAGTTGAAATGCATATGGGTGCATTATCAACATAAACGTATGCTAGAGTTGAAATGTATATGGGTACATTATCAACATAAAAGTATACTATGGTTGAGATGTATATGGGTACATTATCAACATAAAAGTATACTATAGTTGAAATGCATATGGGTGCATTATCAACAAAAAAGTATACTAGAGTTAAAAAGCATAAGGGTACATTATCAACAGAAAAGTATGCTAGAGTTGAAATGTATATGGGTACATTATCAACAGAAAAGTATACTATGGTTGAGATGTATATGAGTAAATTATCAATATAAAAGTATACTATAATTGAAATGCATATGGGTGCATTATGAACAGAAAAGATGTTAGAGTTTAAAATGCATAATGATGTATTATATACATAAATGGAGGTTACAAACAAAAAGAAAGAATCGTGGAAAATGGTTTTGATAAATGGGAAATAAAATATGTTTTAACACCAAAGGTTATTTATTATATCATGACTCACTAAGATAAACTTAACATGTGTATTTATACGTGTAGGTAACATCAGATAATCATCAAGTAAGGAGTGAAGCTGTAGCAGTAGACATTATCTACTAAGGTTGACTCCCCAGTAACATTAGGACTTTATTAACCCTTTTGGAACCTGTTTGGCATGTAATCAAATATAACAAAATATTTTGTACTATGTTTTATTGAATCTATATTTATGATGTTAATTATATGGAATTAAGTTTGCAATAAAATTTTAAAGGATTTTCACAACAAGTATATTGTATTTTAAGTGATGTGACATTCATATTTGTATACATAACCGTATATAGAATATAGGTGTTACATTTATTGGTATCAGAGCTATAGGTTTAGCCGATTCTCAGCCAAAAATTAGTTCTATTTTAAAATAAAAAAATAATTACATGCCAATAAGGGTGTCAATGTTACTGAGTGTCATTAGTGGATGGTTGATAACACTCCTTACCGGTGATAATGTTACTAAGATGGTGTCAAATGTTAATAATGATAATGTCATCAGTATGTATGTTTTATTAGATTCCAGAATCCTTGAATTCGCGAAGAGCGGGGAATAAGAAATGCAAGAGGGAACGAGGAGTGAAAGTTATGAGGATAACAGTGCACAACCTATTCCTTCTGAAAATGCAAGTGCACTTGCACCTCAAGGGATTCCGACTCCTGAATTTGGAACTTTCATACAAGCCCTTGATACTATTTTCACTCAGCTTCAACCTCCCCCTGCTCCTCCAATAACTAGAATGTTGATTCCCAATGAACTGAAGAGTTTGGGAGCTCTAGAGTTCTGAGGGGATAGGGTGAGGGTCCTATGGAAGCTGATATGTGGTTAAATGATGTGATGATTATGTTTGAAATCCTGTAATGTAAAGATCAAGAGAATTTGTGAGGAGTTGTATCCTTGTTGAGAGGATCAACTCGAGTATGTGGTCCAATACTACTATGTATGCACCACCGAAGCAAGTCACATTGCAATTTTTCCAGGAAGAATTCAAAAATAAATATGTGGGTGAGCAGTCCAAACGAGCAATATTGATAAAGTTCCTTAATTTAAAGCAAGGTAACCGAGCAGTCCATAAATTTGAGGCTGAATATAACAAGTTAAGCCATTTTTCCACTGAAATTGTGCCAAATGATAAGGCTATGCGTGATTGGTTTATAGAGGGTTTTAGGCATAAGTTGAAAGAAATGATTATGGCCTTGAACTTGTCGAGTCTGAAAGAAGTTATAAACAGAGCCAAAGCTATTGAAAGAGCTTAGGAGGAAACATTAGCGGTGGAACAGAATGTTCAAGCAGGGAAGAGAGTGGGAATGCCTTCCATACGCCATTATGCTAAAAGAGGAAA